AAGGGGTTTTGGCCCTAATTTCAGAAACTGGGTCAGATTGTTGTACCTTGACTCCCAAGCCTCAGTTGTAATCAATGGCATGAAATCTGAGCCTTTCACCCTTTCGCGATCCCTCCKACAGGGATGYCCCCTGGCCCCCCTCCTGTATGTATTACAACAGGAGGTACTTCTTGATATGATAAGAGTGTCCGTYGACATCAAARGACTGACTATATCGACCTCACGRCAGATTAAAGCATCAGCCTTGGCAGATGACCTCTCAGTTATCTCTGCTAACTCCCCGATATCTYTGCAGGCAGTCTCCAAYTGCCTCTCCCTTTTTRAGAAAGCTTCAGAAGCTAAAGTKAGTTGGACGAAATCAGTGGCCCTGTCCAGGGACAACGCAYCACTAGCCATCGATCTGGGGATAGAGGTAATAAAAAGTGATTCCTCAGAGAGGTTCCTAGGGGTAGAAGTCTCCTTTTCTGATTGMCAGAGTAAACAGAACCAACTGCTAGAAGACAAGGTCTTTAACAGGTTGGTCAGATGGTCCTCCTTCWGGTCCATCTCACTCTTTGGTAGAGCGTTGGTMATCAACGCAGCTGTTTTTTCAACCCTCTGGTATGTGCTGACAGTTAGGGCTCTTTCTCYTGCTACCGATAAACGGATCAGGAAAGGGAYTACCAACTACCTTTGGAAAGGCACGGTGGAATGCGGGAATGCATTACCCRAGGTAGCTTGGTGGAAGGTCACCCAGAAGCGAAACTGCGGGGGGCTTGGCCTGCTTGATCCGTTGACTCAGAACCAGGCATTGCTAAGCAAGTGGGTGATCAGAGGACTKCTAGATCYAGACAAGAAACCGTGGATGCTGTTGGCAGAAACTCTGCTGTCCCAAGAATGGGGACTCTCCAGGYCCAAAGATGTTTGKGTCTGCTTGCTRCTACAACCCTTCCTCAAYAAGCGCATCCATTCYGAASTATGGAAACCAATCATACAGGYRTGGAAAACACTGCTACCAACACTTCTAAGAGAGCCMGAGGCAAGGGARGAAGWCCTCCTACAACCCATTTTYGAGAAKCATSTCATACTGACGGCGCAGGGCACTCCGCTCYGAATCTCARAAAGCGCCGGAGGTTTTGGTCACAAATGGATTCAGAAGGGGATCACACAGATGARAGATCTGTGGAATGAGGAAACGAAGGAATGGAGGTCAGAAACAKAAATTCAAACAKTCATGGGCAATGATCACACCGTACATAATTGTCTGTTYGTCRTTCAACAGRCAGTCCCTGCGCGGTGSATSAMAATCCTACAGACTRAACCATTCCAAAAAGGGAYGTGGGTCRTGGATGAAGATGAACAAGGTTTCTTKTGGAAGGTCGAAGAAGTGTTGGATATCGATACCCTCAGGTGCTCSAAATGGAAAGAGAACCGACAGAAGCTGCAGRAACTCACCACCAATAGAGAGCCTCAYGATCCACAGCCAGGGTTTACGCTTTACGCAGATCACTGCAGGCTGATCAGAGTAAAAACCACTACGCAACAAACTAGCAAGGGCCCCACAGCSTCCTATGAGTTGCTAATGGGCGGACAACYGGTAGGGAAAGGGAAGRTWGATGTGSGTCTGATTGGCTGGAAGAACGTTACCGAGGACATCTCTCAGGCCACACTGTTGGAATACACTGTCTCTTTGGGCTACCGGTTGAAATCCAAAGCCAATGAACTGTGTGTGGTGGTGAAGGATTCTTGGGATCAGAATCAAACCAAGCTGGGTCTTCCTNTCTCTTTGGGCTACCGGTTGAAATCCAAAGCCAATGAACTGTGTGTGGTGGTGAAGGATTCTTGGGATCAGAATCAAACCAAGCTGGGTCTTCCTTGGAGCAAGTTATCTTGGGTTCAGTCCTTCGGCAAATTATTGAAGAGATACCCTGCAGTCAAACACGCAAGTCTTGAGTGGTTGTTAATCCACCAATGTGTTCCCACGGGCAGCTGGTGTACAAAGAAGAGGATGCTTGTTAACCTTCTTTGCATGACATGCACTGCACAGCAGATAGAGTATTCATCCCATATCTGGTGGTTCTGCGACTTTGCCGAGAATTTCTGGACCTGGTGGCAAAATCTCTGGTCCCAGATCAATCAGGGACTAGACCACTCCAGAAGGTGAGATGAGAAGCTCATCCTGGGAGGCCCCAACAAGGGCCTACCAACCATGGTCGGATTAGCAAGGACTGTGGGCATGTGGGCTATTTGGATGGAACGGAACCAGGCCAGATTCAACAACGAGCGACCAAATATGGAAAGAGCACAGCATTTCATGAAAAGAAGTATTCGAGACATTATTGCGGCAATTTTCGCTGCACCGCGCTTCTTGCTTGCGCACGTCTTGCTGCGGTAGGAGTTAGGCTCTGATTGGACCGTGCCCTTAATCTTGTGTGTAGCTGTAATTTTTGGCGGGCACGATTGTAACTGTACTTCTCTTCTTTTCTATTCTCTTCTATTTTTCCCGCCTTCTTCCTCTTCTTCGCGCATACTTCGTCCTCTGTTCTAATTGGCCTAAACGATTTCGTGACAGGATCGATATGTGGAGTGTGGCTACGTCCGCCACCCCGCGGCCTGACCATGCAGACGTAGGCACTCCCTTTCTTCTCATTCCTTCCACTTAGTCCTAATCCTGCACCTCTCACGC